GAACAAATACTAGCAGCAATATCTTTGACATACATTTTTGCTTCTTACCCCCCTTCCAGGTTTCTCACAGAAGATGTAAACAGAAAAGAAGGTCGTATAGAAACACTATACTGTAAACCCGTAATTTTAACATATGGGAAGGGGTGCGCCATTCCAATCTCTGAGGCATTCGAGCATCGGATCGATGACCTTCCCCTCAGAAATAGCAACAAATACCTTGTCGAATTCCTCTCCTGGCGACCTGACCTTCTCTCCTGTAAGAAGCCCTGTCCCGAGCTCCTCCCTTACAAACTTATACAAGGGGTATGACCTGCACTCCTTTATTCTGTTGCCGATTTGTGCATTACCAGCCTCCACTGCTACCCGAGCAGCCTCCACTTCTTTCGGCAGAACTGCCTTGAGCTCCTCTTCAAAGGCAGCAATCTTTTGGAAGATGGAAGTCTTCACATCCTTTTCCTTCTCTCCATTGTTCAGTGCATGCTCTACGAGTACTTGTCTCAGTTTCTGCATCAATGGGTAGTTGTAGCTGCAAGGTTCATCGATGTAGGCGAACACATACTCTCTATCGATCATCTTGATCAGTTCCAACTCGCAGAACCTCGATGGGTGGAGCTCACCGTTGACTCCTGTCGTTAGAACTCTCTTTGATACTTGGCTGACAGTGTTCTTGACTGCCTGTTTTAGATTCTCCTCCAAGTGCCTCAGATCGATGGCCTGGCAGAGGGCGACCAGGAAAGTGGACGTCATGAGCTTCAGGATCTCTACAGCTTCAGCTGTCTTTCTGGAGGAAATTAGTCCCAAAGAGTTGACGTCCTGATTGTGTTGCTCTGCACTTTGGACATGGTTGGTTACCGGGTTGGCAAGGTACTGGAGCTCAGAGCAGTAGGAAGCCATGGCTATCTCTGCTCCTTTGAATCCATAGTCCAAGCTAGGGTTTCTGCCTCCGGAGAGATTGGACGGAAGGCCATTGTTGTAGAAATCATTGACGAGCTCGGATAACTGAGCAAACATGAGCTTCCCAATGGCTGCGATGGCAAGTCTAGTATTGTCCATGGAAACACCGATAGGCGTCCCCTGGAAGTTGCCACCGTGGAGGGCCTTGTTCCTCGAGACATCGATCAGTGGGTTGTCATTGACTGAGTTGATCTCACGCTCGATGGATTTGGTGGACGAGCGGATGACCTCAATCTGAGGGCCGAGCCATTGCGGTGATGTCCTCAAGGCATACCGATCCTGCTTCGGTTTCTGAAGGGGGTCGAGCTCGTGGACCTTCTTAGCCATTTGCATGTACGAGCTTCCGTCCAAGATGTGCTCCATGATCGCCGCTGCTTCGATCTGACCCGGATGATGCTTAAGCTTGTGGGTGAGGTGGTCGGTGAACTCCGGCTTCCCCTGCATCACCTCGCAAAACACGGCAGAGATGATCTCCGACAAAACGGCGAGGATGTTGGCCTCGAAGAGGACGGTGGAGGCGAGGCCAGAGCCAACAGCGGTTCCATTGACCAGCGCAAGGCCTTCTTTAGGCTGCAGCTCAAAGAATCCGCTGGGGATTCCGGCGAGCTTGAATGCCTCGGCAGCGTCGATGTGGGTGCCGTCAGGGCTGATGGCTTTGGAGTTCGGACGTCCAGTGAGCATTCCGGCGATGTAGGAGAGAGGAACAAGGTCGCCGGAGGATGAGATGGTTCCTCGGAGAGGGAGGCAGGGGGTGATGTTGGTGTTTAGGAAGGAGGTGATGGCTTCGATTGTCGGGTTGTTTGCCGGAGCTGAAGATTCCAGCGTTGAGGAATCTGAAAGCAAAAGAAGAATATTCTTCGTTCTGTCAAGTACAGTTTTAATCACCGAACGAACGTTTGTTACCAAACCAAGCTCATTAATTAAAAATGAGAATTTACTGGTGTCAGCTTGCTTTGATAATCTTTCTTTTCGTACTAATCATAGGTGCTCTAAACATGCAGGTGCGCTTGAATATTAGGATGTTAATTAGTGACTAATTGAAACCTCTCTTAATTTAATTTAAAATTATGTGAAGTTCAATCTTGTACTTCTATTTTGACTTTCGGATGGGGGTTAATTTATTTCAGCCAGAAGTTTAGGCTACAAATAGTATTAAAATTATTGAGAAGTTTAATCTGGGGGCCTTTTTTTTGTCTTTCGAACGGGGTTAAAGCTCACTGAGGGGTCGCTATTTTGGCCACAGGTAAGCGCGGGGCGTGCGAACCCCCACGTGAGAGCTGCAGGCCCTCAGAAAGGAGTAGCACGCAGCGGCAAGAGGCGGGGGATGGCACGTGAGGACTGCATCCTGCTGGTGGTTGAGGTCAGTGTTCCCTTGGCGCATGTTTTTGTCTAATAGATCAATTAAATGATTAATTAATTAATTAAACTGAAGATGGTGCTGATGGTTGTTAATTTTATGTCTTCGCCTTGTTTCTCTTTGACGTTTTCTACGGAGACTTTGTTGGTCACGTCCTTAGAAATTAAGACCCGTCCATCTTTTCTAATTATTATAACTTTTATTCTTCAAATTGGCGCTCATAATGATTGTATTAACGATCTTCATAATTTATTTTTTTTAACTCGGTTTAATTCGTTGGTAACTATTACTTTATGGGGCCCAACTAGCTAGACACGCCAACGAGTCGGTAGACTACTGTTGTTACAATTCGCATGCCCGTAAAAATGAGCTTAATTTGAATTTATACAAGTTTCTTTTTGGGTTAAATTTTCGTTGACATCGACTAAGCTTATGCTACCAATGAGATTATAATATGCATCTAAAGTAGGGGGTTATTATGGCTTCCGCGCGGGAAGAAAATTGATGTTGCCCTACCTAATTTATCATTAATGCCTCGAATTTTAGGTGGGAGTAATTCCAATCCATTAATAGTACGATTTATTAATAATTATAATTAGCTACGTGCTTAAAACGCATTCAAACTAATTATCCCTTCATCAGAGAACTAATAATTAATTAACCAACAACGTACCTTTTCTTTTCTTTTCTTTTCCCCCTTTTCTGAAAAATATTTTGATCGCCGGATAGATTACAAAGAAAGTTCTTTTTCACCTACCAAATATCTACTTTCCTCAATCTTTGGTCAGAAAAAAATAGCATCGATTCTGACAGAGGAAATTTTATTTACTTATTTTTGTTTCTTTTGAACTTTCTTCGTCCGTCCCTTGGGAAAACGTTCTACAAAATCCCGATGGTCATAAATTTCAGTTCAAGGCTAGTATATACATAATACGTACATGGTAAAAATCTTCTTAATTTTGGTTGTTAAGATTTCTAGGAATAATAAGATCGCGGGCTTCATAATGACACGCAAAATCTACAAAAGCGTACACATAACTACTGCTCAGATTTAATTTGTCGATCTCAAACAGAGAAATTGAAGGCTAATAAATTAAAGTCAGCATTGTATCCCGCTCACCTGATGAGCTCCTTCTGGAGGGCACCTCCCTGCTTAGTTCTGCGGTGGGACGTCGCCCCGAACCCCGTGGTAACCCCGTAGCTGTCGGTGCCCTTCCCCATGCTCTCCATCACCCAATCGCTGCTCGCCTTCACCCCCTCCCTCGCCGCCTCTGCCAGCTCCACCCTCCCCTCCCCCATCGCGACCGCCGCCACCTGCGATATCTTTAGGTCCGCCCCCTCCAGTTTCACAACCGGGTTCCTGAAGTCCTCGACCGCCATCGCGGCCACAGCTGCCACCTGAGATACCTTCAAATCCGCTCCCTCCAGCCTCACTAACGGCTTCCTATAATCCTCGACCATCTTCTTCACCTCATCGAGGTGGCTCCCCGTGAGGGCCTCAGCCGCGGCCCCCCAGTTGAGGGGGTCCCCCTTGAGGCAGAGCGACGATGAACCGTGAAGCGCATTGCCGTTCTCCATTAATTTGGGGGCTAAATTAAAGAGAGTACTATGCAAAACTAATAACGAAAATCACGTAGGAAGCTCGGAAAGGAGAGGAAAGACTAAGACTCTAATCGGTAGGTTTGTAGCCGATTCCTTCCCTCGCCTGAGTTTGTGGAGGTGGGGGGGGAGGGAGGGGAGTTGTAAATAAAGGGGAGGGAGAGGAGGACAACATGTCATTGGTTGGGTATAGGGTTTGTGAAGATGGGGTTAGTTGAGAGTTTGATATGGCCGTTTGGATCCTTGTTAGGCATGATCGAACGGTTGATCTTTGTGACACGTGGAGGGATCGGTGGAGTGTGGGGTAGGAAAGAGGTTACAGCGAGGGCTCGTGAGCTCGCCCGCTCGCTCGTCAAAGATGTGGGATGAGAGGGCTTGGTTGGTGAGAAGGAGGGAGGGAATAATAATAATAATAATCAAAGTCGAGTTAAGCAAGCAATGGCAAAGATATCAGTTTTCTTTCCTTGTCTTTTTTTAAAAAATCCTTTTAGAACAAGACAAGCGATTAATGACTGTTACTTAATTAATTGGGTAATTAGTGCTTGGTGCGCGTGGGGTTTTTTTTGTTTGGTTTGGGGTGGGGGGTAGCGCTACCTTGCGGAGTATTATAAAGGGTGAAAAATTGGGGTGGACTGGGGTTGGTGGCAAGGGGTAAACAACCAATTAATGTTACTTATAAGTTGCTTGTTCATCAGAAACAGCTACTATTTGTATTATTATTATTATAAAGGTAAGACCTACAACAATGCAGGCCAAGGTTAGACCTACTTAAGAGATTAATGATGCCCCAGTGTTTTTCTTTGTTGATAATAATGTATTGTAGTAGGTTTTAGTCCTACATTGGTTATGAGAACACACATCAACCTTCTCTAGTTGTATAAATATATGTGTACACTTGTTGATGTCTGATCTCACACAGCTGATTGAAGTTGCAGAGTTGTTGAGTCGTCGAGGGGTTGAACCGTCGATGAGGGGGGCCGCTTCCTGCTTCGACTTTATGCCTGGTTCTTAGAGCTCGGGGCGGACGGATCACCTGCACATGTAAGAATCGTGGGAGTACAGGGCTCATTTTCCCCGTGGTACCTCCGACGGTCAAGTCAGCTAACGGACTTGGGTGGGGAGAAGGAAGAACGGTGTGTTCTTCCAATATGTGTTGTTTAGAGAGTTTCTTTATATTGCAAGAAAATCCGAACCTCTTTTTATGGCGAATAGCGTCTGTATTTATAGAGGATGCCAATGGCAGAATAGACACTTCGTGAGTGTGCGGTTTAAGATGGTGGTGAGGGGTGAGCTGGAGGCTGAGTCACCCTCTGTTCTATACGTGTCGATTTGTGAGTGATGGAAGGTCACTTCAGTGATATGGGGAACCAGCAGCCGTCGAGGCTTGTCGATGAGCGGCGAGAAGTCATTTCAGTGATGTGGGGAACCCGCAGCCGACAAGGTTTCAGACGGCTGAGGACGGAGACATAATGATAATCATAAAAGGTTAAATAATGCTGAGAAGAAATGTTCTGAGTCGTCCTCAGGAGGAGTGTCGGCTAATTGCTAAGTAGCAATCTTTTGTTATGAAGAGGTTCGACTTCGTCCGCCTTTCGAGTCGCCTTTGAGGAATGAAGCCGACTCGACTAGGGGAGTGACGGCTCGCGGGATAGTATATTTGTGAAGAATAGGGGATACCCCATAACAGTTAGCCCATTTTGCTTGGATGTGGCTGTGGCCGGACCCAAGGGGAAAATAAGTGAGCAGAGACTGAGTAGAATTGATTTTGACAGCGAGATGGCGTCCTTTCAGGTGATTTCAAGGCGAGAGAAGGGAGATTGCTATCAGGTGATGATAGCGAGTCTTCAGACGGCGCAGATGAGGAAACGACAGCTGTCATTCCGCTAATGGAAGGGGGGACTGAAGCCCCAGTGATGCCTGCTCCTCCTGCTGATGCTGGTGCTCTGGGCCAAGAGGCTTTGGCAACTGCTGATGCGGCCGCTCCACCTTCGGAGACCCTCGCGGGTTAAGAAAAAAAATAAGAATGAGTCATGTTTCCTTTCTTCTTTTTTTATCAGTCGTTGTAATTGGTACTTTTGACTTTGTAAATAAGAAGAGCTAATGAAGAAATAAATTCATTTCGAGTGTTTTAAACTCTTGAAATTTTCTTGTTCTTGCTTGATTGAGAGGTGATACAGGAATCCTTAAAGTTGGTTGCCTAGGCTCGAGAGAGTCGACTAGGTCTTTTCCTTCCCCTAGGACCGAGAGGCGACTGTGGGAGTCGGCCAAAGGGTTGTGCCTTGGGTTTATTCCTGACAAGGTACCAAGGGTTTTTTATCGACTGAGGAGTCGAGTGCCTAGGTGACTAGGTCTTCCATTTTCCCCTAGGGCCGAGAGGCGGCTGTGGGAGTCGACCAAAGGGTTGTGCCTTGGGTTTATTCCTGATAAGATACCAAATACTTTTATCGACTGAGGAGTCGTTGTGCCTTGGGCTTATCCTGATAAGGAGCCAATGTCTTGACCATGATGGTCGATGAGAGCTGACAGAATCGAACTATATCTTGTGCCTTGGGCTTACCTTTAAGAAGAGCCAAGGGCTTTGTGCCGACTGAGGAGTCGTTGTGCCTTGAGCTTATCCTGATGAGAAGTCAATGTCTTTGTTACCGACTAAGAAGTCGTTGTGCCTCGGGCTTATCCTGATGAGGGGTCGAGGTCTTGACCATGATGGTCTTGGGTTATATAATATCATACCTAATATACAGAGTAAGGAGGACCAGTGGGTAAATCTAGAAACGTGGTTAGACGCTAGCAATGGACAAGTACACGACAGTAAGCAAAACTTAGTGAAGGGTTTAGCTCTAATTGAGGGAGTAGCCAATCCTTTAAAAATTTAGAGCAAAAGTACGTTACACACCGTCGTTGTCTGTCTCGGCTCGGAGTATGAAGGCAATATATATGGAACGTTCTCTTGTTCCTTTTAGATATCGATCTTTTTTATTTATGCATTCACAAGGCACTAAAACGCACACGTAGTAGATATTTACTGGGAGGTTTGTGCAAGTGTGGCAGTCCAAGCGCCAGACCTTTCGCTCGCCCTACACATGCATCAATCCATTTTGAGTCCGATTGCAGATAATTATGGCCAGATTAGATACGCATTAATTGCCTTCTATTGCGGTGGTCTCAATAATTATTATTACGCTGCCAAAAGGCGAAAAAGAAAATAAAAATAAAAATAAAATGAAAAGAAATGTCCTCGCCACATTTAAATTATTTTCCTTGTCTTTTATTGTTTCACGATAGAATGAATTTATTTATGACATGATGAGTTTGACCTTTTGTTGTATGTTAAAAATCCACGTGAACATATGTAAGAATTTTGACTTTTAAGTTTTCCTTTCTTGTTCTACCGACTAAACCCTTAAATGCCTGGATCTATCCAAATACAACAAAGATACTAAAACCTATCTCATCTCATCTCATCTCATATAGCAAGCAAAGGCTACTCAATAATGGTGGGATATTTTCCTTTGCGAACATTGATAGAGAGAAATAGAGAGAAGAGAGATAGAGAGAATTGAATTGCCCATGGACCCTCCTGATTTACACTAAATTCTATGGGCAATTCACTTCTCTCAGAATTGATTTTGACAGCGAGATGGCGTCCTTTCAGGTGATTTCAAGGCGAGAGAAGGGAGATTGCTATCAGGTGATGATAGCGAGTCTTCAGACGGCGCAGATGAGGAAACGGCAGCTATCATTCCGCTAATGGAAGGGGGACTAAAGCCTCCTGATGCCTTGTAGGCTGTCTAAAAATCACAATGGACAGCGAGATGGCGTCCTTTCAGGTGACAAGGCCGAGGAGCGAAGGAGATTGCTATCAGGTGATGATAGCGAGTCTCAGACGGCCGCCAGCGCAGATGAGGAAACGACAGCTGTCATTCCGCTAATGGAAGGGGGGACTGAAGCCCCAGTGATGCCTGCTCCTCCTGCTGATGCTGGTGCTCTGGGCCAAGAGGCTTTGGCAACTGCTGATGCGGCCGCTCCACCTTCGGAGACCCTCGCGGGTTAAGAAAAAAAATAAGAATGAGTCATGTTTCCTTTCTTCTTTTTTTATCAGTCGTTGTAATTGGTACTTTTGACTTTGTAAATAAGAAGAGCTAATGAAGAAATAAATTCATTTCGAGTGTTTTAAACTCTTGAAATTTTCTTGTTCTTGCTTGATTGAGAGGTGATACAGGAATCCTTAAAGTTGGTTGCCTAGGCTCGAGAGAGTCGACTAGGTCTTTTCCTTCCCCTAGGGCCGAGAGGCGGCTGTGGGAGTCGACCAAAGGGTTGTGCCTTGGGTTTATTCCTGATAAGATACCAAATACTTTTATCGACTGAGGAGTCGTTGTGCCTTGGGCTTATCCTGATAAGGAGCCAATGTCTTGACCATGATGGTCGATGAGAGCTGACAGAATCGAACTATATCTTGTGCCTTGGGCTTACCTTTAAGAAGAGCCAAGGGCTTTGTGCCGACTGAGGAGTCGTTGTGCCTTGAGCTTATCCTGATGAGAAGTCAATGTCTTTGTTACCGACTAAGAAGTCGTTGTGCCTCGGGCTTATCCTGATGAGGGGTCGAGGTCTTGACCATGATGGTCTTGGGTTATATAATATCATACCTAATATACAGAGTAAGGAGGACCAGTGGGTAAATCTAGAAACGTGGTTAGACGCTAGCAATGGACAAGTAC